GTTGGCGACAAATTGCAGATTGCTCAGGATACTTGACGTCACCTCTTCTGTATCTGTTACTGATGATTGTGTCGCGCATTTACTGAATCTGGAGAGTTTGGAGATACTCAATGTAGGAGGAACTGGTATTTCCGAGAAAAGTTATGCTCTGCTCCTTTCAAGATTGCCACGAATTCAGAATTTAATTTGGAAAGGTCGAGTGGATAATGTCTTAAGATATATTACTAGGGCATCTCTTCCTTTAATAAATACGTTCGGTGGTGTACTTACAGATGCATCCTTATTGGTAAGAATGTGTCCACATCTCAAAAACTTGGCAGTCAGTTTACATAGTCAAAATTGTTTGGAGCTGGTAAATTTGACTGACGTAGTGGTTTTGGAATTGTTGTTCTGCAATTATAACACTAATAACTTGAGCACCGTAATTGAAAACATGGGCATTAGACTTACAAAATTAATTATGATTCAAGTCGTGAATGTTGATATTATTCAAATAATTACTTCTTGTTGCGTGTTGAAAATTCTCGACCTCAGAAATTGTCGAGTTATAACGCCGGAAAATTTCAGTTTATCTCCAGAATTGTCACATTTTATAAGCGTTAATGAAATTACTCTTTCAAACATCCAATATTTCAGAGATTTCCACAAGTACCTGGAATGTTACGTTAATTTGGCTGTGTTCCATGCTAGCCATGTGGCAGAACTGAATCATGCAACTATTTCCGCAATTTTAAATGCTGGTGGCTTTAGAAAACTCACTACAATTGTTCTCGCTTTTTGTGGGCATCTTACATTAGACACGGCTATGCTGTTGATACAGAAGTGTGACAATTTGACTTTTTTGGGGAACACGAAATCTTGGTGCGATTTCAGTCGAAGACGTTGATGGATTGTATTAAAGTTAATAACCTCGCACTGTTTGCATATTTGGATTGATTTGAATTTAGATGTAAGACATTGACACGGAAAAGTTATTTTTACATTGAAATTTACCCTGTTTTACATTTACTACATATTTTATTGTATTATAACCAGTAACATTACATGAGAGTAACTTAAAAATTGTTGTATTTAAGAATTAAGTGACCATTTTGTACGTGATGTAATTATCTGCAAATAAATTTTACGATAGATTTTAATTAACCTCCTGATTAATTTAATGTTTTTGGGTCCAGTGGTTAACTGTTGTGAACACTGCAACAAATATAGAGATTGCATAACGTACAGGTAACTTCTGAATAACCGTTCAACATGATTAACGAATTTTAATAAGAAGTATAATGTTGATTTAAGATTAAGGTAACTTTCTCATAAACAAAATGCATTTGTATAGCGTATGAGGGTTTCTAATTGTACATCCAAATTTAAACTGAGTGATATAATAGGAACCATAGTCAGAGTTTACAGAAAAAAAAGGAAAGAAACCCATGTCCGTGCTCTTCATCTAATGGAAGTGTTAAAATATCAAATTAAAAATGAACTTCGATAAAATATTACCTATTTTATTCAGGCGGTAACGTGCTAATTTAGGTCACTATGGAAGATACTGGAAGAGGCATTTCGAATATTTATTTCATCAGAATACTGAGCCTGTGCCTCAAAATGAGACATGTTGAGTGTTACGTATAAATCCTCAGCCTTTCACTTCATCACTCTTCATGGTATAACAATATATGAGTACCGAAAACGTGCCTGAAGAAAGTGTATTAACTTTTGTTCGAAATACGTGGCATGTCTGTTGTTAAGACGCAATATTTTTTATCTAAATAGTCCTTTAAATTTAAACAGAAAATAACACTGGCTTCCCATAAACCATAAAAAATACTGTTTAGACATGAAGATGACACTCATCTGGGTTGTTGTGTCCGTAGTCTTGTAGAAATTTTCAGACGTTTCAGAGTTACTACGTCATGGAGATACTACACGCCGTAACATACCTGAAGACAGCCATGTTCATACTCCACGCCATGAGAACATGAAATCTCATGTGTCTTATCGACAGGTCGAAAATCAACTTTTTCGGTTATGCCTTAGTAATAGCGTTTGCAGTTCCTGTTGTTACGCGACATCGTTTAACAAATTTTTATCTAGGTGAATGTGAACGTATTTCGTGTAACTCTCTCGTCTGGGTAAAACTATCACAAGCTTCAATCACGACGTTCGTTATAGCGACTGATATTTGAACCCGGTACCTTCCGCATGCAAAGAGCCTTATAGCTACATTATTCTGAGATGGTCTGCTTAGCAACACTATCCCAGCACTTCTGCAGTTTCAATATGTGAGTTTTAAGTGATTGGAGTCCTCTGTTCACTTATCCCAGTTCTGAAAATAGTAGAATTTATTAGCTGAAGAAATACTGAAAATCTCTGAAACAAATGTATTTTCTGTCAGATTGCTTTTAGAATTGTGGGACATAATTTTCTGGGAAGAAATGAACTGAAACAGCATTTATTTTATTTGGGCGGAATTATTTGATACTTATTACTTAAGACGCATGTCCCAATTTCATGTCATTCTTATTTGTAGTCGTTAAGAATGTTTCAGTTGTACTTCTTCCTCTTCTTTTTTCTATGGCTCTCCGGTCCGTATTCGATCCATGGCCTCCTGAATTAATTCGGTCCTCTGTTAGGTCCGTCTGTCCGAGGCTTTGATCGAAGTTTCGAAACATCTTCCTTTTTACGGTGCAAGGTTGTTAGCCTTGCGACCAACTGGAAAATCAGGCTACCTCTCCCCCTCGACCAATCTGGCTAGGGTGACCCTACCAGTAGCTATGCTACAGCCAGCATAGCTCTTGGGGTCGCTGGGCCTCATGCAAACTGTCAACATCATACGCCGTTGCCTAACAACCAGTCATTCAGCTGCAGTCAGCTGGGACATTCTGCGGAGTGAACTGGTGAGAATACATACTTTGTATTAAACAACATATAATTAAAATTTTGTGAAAGAAATTTCCTGCAGTAAATATTTTGGATACAGTAAGAACAACCTCTTAGGCCTTTATTTATCACGACAAGGAAATAAGACAACATAACCGAACTGGAGAAAGTTATTTTCAGCATCGCATCGGAAAATTCCCCTCCCAAGTCAAATGTTTCATCGCTATTCATAAGTATAGTAAAAACGAAGATACAATTTTTAATACAATTAACATTTATAACCGTCTTTTAATTTCAAGTTTATTCACCGTTCATAAGCTTTTATATTGTAGTGATGATAGTTACTTTTTGTATTTGTACTATCCGATGTTTATTCTAAACCGTTCTTAATATTACACAGTAAAAACGAGACTGAAAATAACAGAACAAATCTATTCGTGCATTTTCTATGGCTGATATTTGTTATGACTAATTAGTTTGTTACCATACGAACAAGAAACAAAGTCGTGATATTTGATCACTAGAACATCGGACGTAGAAGAGTACAATATAATAACAGCTCTCTCTGTAACCAGGGTAAAATTATTTTTAAAACGAATTAACCACAAAGTAGGGTCTGCCAAGTGTAATCAAAGTTTTCCGCTATATAATGTGATACGCTGATTTTTATGAGATAATTATACGAGAATATTTTAGTGAATTTTTGCCAGTATAACTTAATTATATGTAAATTTCTGTTGCATTGGCAATGGCTGGTAATACCATTTGTAATTTCGTCATTAACAGTGCCAGTCTAATGTATTTCAGATTGGACCTTGCATTTCTCTGCCTTCGTATATCGTTTAAGTGTGACGTTTATGTGCAGGATATGGAATATGCAAGACTGGTGCATCTTTTAAAATAATTTAATAACCTGAGGATGTAGTAATTTATTTAACTTAAACGTGCTTAAATTAAAACCGGTGTTTAGGTCCCGTTCATAATTATATAGCAAGACGACGAGTATACGTTGCTTTGAAACATATTTTCCCCTAACGACTATTTGTTATATACAAACTGTTCAATTTCTTCATTACCTGTATTAATACTGTACAGGAATCAAATTGAACATTGTCCGAACATTAGGCCAGCACTGATGTAAGTCTCACTGTGCAAGACAAACAAACTTTATGCTATGTTATGATTATCACAATGTATTAAAACGCACAACATTAAAATTAATCCTACAGGATCAATACCATTTTAAAACAATTAAGATGATTTCGGTGGTTAATGCAGAAGGTAAATATTTGAAAGAAGAATATATTTTTGTCTTGACATGTTACATTTATTCATTATATATTTCGGTGTATACAAGTTAATAGTAACTCGGAGAGAAAAAAAATCTTTGCACGTAATAATAAATGTATCTATGAGGGTGTAAGCTATATGTATAATGAAGTAAAAGAGTTCTCTTAACAAGTAACGTGCATAAGCCAAATTTTCGTACATTCAGTACTGTTGTTATAATCAGGGGCCTCTTTAAGACATTGCCTCTCACCATTCTAAAAATATCGATAAATGTTGTATATCCATTATATATCCTGAAGCCTAGCTGAACTATATTGACAAATACGGATTAGGATGCAATATATAAGTTTAAAGTATAATGTACTATAAGATTTGAGACTTTCGCGGCTAGTACAATCAATAAAATGTTCTCGCGACTGATTTCCCAAGAAGATTTTATTTATAACGTACTACTTATGACAGGAATAAAGTTTTAAAAGTTTATACCGTGATACACGTAATGAATAATTATTTCCAGTTTGTTGTGTAGATTCTGGTGTATTTCGTGTGTTGAGAGTCCTTTTCAGGAGCTGGATAAAATGTGATTTTATATATATATATATATATATCAATTTAATATACCTATGTGAATTGAAGTGTCAGAGAATCGAAAGTGACTCACTTCATCTACTCTGTGTGCGTTGCTTAGTATTAAGCTGCAGCTGTGGATAATTTTACTAGTGGTTCACGCATATTATATTTTAATGAATCATATGACATTATATACATTATTAGCAGTTGTTTTATGAGTGTTATTCTTTCAGAAGACAAAATGAATAATAAGAAGAGTCCTGAACGCCTGGTTAAGCTAGCCGAAAAGCAGTTCTGCAAAATGATACGCTACCGTGTTATAGCATGGCTTGTCAAATTGCAGGTCTCCGAAAGACTTTCATGGGTAGAGAAAGTAACAGTGGTTAATTCCATTCTGAGCCTGTGCCTAAAACTGCGAGAGCTGCTGATATCGCTGCCTGATCCAGCTTGCAGAGAATTAAGTAAAAGCGCCTTCAGAATTGTCACCAATATTATCGCAAAGTACAATAACGTAAATCGCTCCCGAATTAATAATTTCGTTTTCCGACGTCTCCATTACGATGTCTGTCTGCATCTGCTCAGCGCTGTGTATCTTCCTTGCTTAGAAGAATGTAACTTCAAGGAAATTTGGTCAGAGTTCTTACAGGAATTGCTTTCACAATCGCTTCCATTAAATCCAAATATCAAGCGTCTCATTCTTCCACTGACTCTATGTCTTAATGTCTCTCGGTTCGTTGTCAGTAACCTTCAGAGACTGATATTGCTACAAGAATTCAGATCAGAGTTCTGTTGCACCACGGATATAGCGATAGAGTTGGGAAGACATTGCATATTGCTCAAGATACTCGACGTCACCCATTCTACATTTGTTACAGATGGTTGTGTCGAGTATTTACTGAATCTGACGAATTTGGAGAAACTTAATATTACAGGAACTGAAATTTCCGAGAGAAGTTATGCTCTGCTCCTTTCAAGATTGCCACGAATTCAGAATATACATTGGCGTGGTGCAGTTGAGGGTATCTTACGAAACATTTCAGTAGAATGTCTTCCTTTATTAACTGAGTTCAGTGGTACAGTTTTCGACCCATCATTATTGACAAGAAAATGTCCAGGTATCAAGAACTTGAAAGTCTCTTTGCAGAATCCAAATGCTTTAAAACTTGTACTTTTAAATGACATAGTTTCGTTGGAACTCGGGAACTGCGATTATATCAGTAGCAACTTGGACATATTGGTTCAAGTTAATGGCTCTAAACTTAAGAAATTACACTTGTTCATGGTCCGAAATGTTAATTTGAGCGAAATAATTAAATGTTGTTACTTTTTAAAGGTATTCATCATTACGTCATGTGAAGTTAGGCGTCCGAAAAGAATAATTTGTCCCAAATCACAGCATTTTATGAGCGTGACTGTAATGGCACTCCAAGGCAAGAATATTTTCGAAAATATCCAGAGTTACTTGCACTATTATATTAATTTGAAAGTGTTCCACGCTGAGTCCATCCCGGAAATTAATGATGTCACTCTGTCTTTAATTTTAAATTTAGGTGGTTTTAGAAATCTCTCTGAAATTATTCTGAGTTCTTGTGGATCTCTAACTTTACAAACAGCTCAATCGCTGATAAAAGAGTGTGTCAGTCTCGGTGTACTGGGGAAAGTTAAAACTTGGCTGGGTTTCACTGATGCGGATAGGAAGAAACTATTTGACTTTGTGAAGTCCAATAACCTTGTGTTAAATGTAAAGTGAAATTAATTTCACTTTCTGACATCCTGAGCGGCGAAATTAATTTTGCAATGAAGAGTGCTCTCTTTTAAAATTCACAAAATAATTATTTAAATGTTTCACAATCTGTATAATATCACGACGGTATCTCTGAAATTAGGTGTATTTAAAAGACTGATTTACCATTATGTATGTGACATAAAAATATATAAATAAATATTATAATGAAATTTTAATTAACTTTCTGGTTATTTTAATATGTTGTGCCCCAGTGGTGCATTGTCCTGAACACTACAACAAATATGGAGGTTTTATAACACGAGTAATTTCTTGAGTAACTGGGTGACCGCCAGCTTCATAATTAATGCTCTTCAATAAACAATATGCTGCCCGATGATCCTCCTATGCCATGTAAAGGCCTCACATTCAAATCTAGATAAACCAAAGGACACGATAAGTTCCTTAGCCAGACGTTACATAAGAAGGAGAAAATATTATGTTCGTGTTCCAAAAATTGTGGAGTTGTAATATATCGAGTTGAAACAATAGAAATTTATAGAACGTTGCAGGACTTATTTAGGCGTTAACATAATAATTTAAGCCACTATTGAAGTTTCTGAATAGGGTAGTTGGATTTCCTCAAAATGTTGACCATGTACCTTAAAATGAAGCATCTGCAGTGCTGTGCAGTGAACTCTTCGCCTTACCCTGAGTCACACTGCACGGTCATAACAAGCAAAGTCGACAACTGGCACTCCATTTTGTTCAAAAAAGTATTTTTATCGTTTCTGAGACTCAAGTGTATAGAACACATTGGAACAGAGGTATAATTGAATGTATAAATTATTAAAGATAACATCGCAACAAACCCAGAATATCACGGATCTCTTTTCTCAGTCCTAATGGCTGAAACTTGTCTTCAACGCTCTACGTCAGCCAATGAAGGAAATACATCATTTAAATGAACATTGATTTGCAGTTTCAAGGAACATATTATTTGCAGTCGCGACATATTTGGATGTAAGGCAAGTTATTTAATAACAATATTATTATCTATGTAAGATTTGAGTTCTCACAGCGGTGAGTATGAAGATTTCCGTCTTCTGGGTTGTTGCGCTGTGTAGTCTGGTCGATGTTAACCAACGTTTCAGAGGTCATACTGCCTCCGTCATCAGGGCGATGAGTATGAAGATTTCCGTCTTCTGGGTTGTTGCGCTGTGTAGTCTGGTCGATGTTAACCAACGTTTCAGAGGTCATACTGCCTCCATCATCAGGGCGATGAGTATGAAGATTTCTGTCTTCTGGGTTGTTGCGCT